GAGGTGAGTACTTTCACTTTTTAATTATAGTAATAATTTATTTCTTCTCAAATATGTCTGTAGTTAATGATTTTTGTAGATATTTTACTTTGATTAAGCTTTTTTTTATTGATTATATCATTACGAATGTTGAAGCTATTTACTCATGCATTTTAGCACATGTTTTATAAAATATCATTGAATGCAATGAAAACATATGTTTATGTTGAATACTTGTAAGTTCATGATTGACCATGATGAAATATCCCTTAATGGTACTAATCGGGGAACATTAATGTACTCGTGCATATAAATGAAAAAAATATATTGACATTGAAGTACCTTAAGTGATATAAATTTTTAGATGGTATCTCCTGTGACGGTTGTATAGATATTAAATAACATTGATATGATAATTATATAAACTACTTTGAATAGCATATTAAATATTTATATTGATTCACAAAGAAGCTTAACTAACATACTTATTGTTCTTTCTTTTAGTTGTATTGTTGTAGTTTAAAAGTATCAGTATTCACCAACTCGTTTTAACTTGCAATTGTTTTAACTAACTTCTCATGTTTAATTAAATTATTAAAAGATGAGTGATAAACGAGAAGACGTTTATAGAAGACGTGGACAACCATCAATAAGGTAATTATAGATTATATATTTTTTTAATTTAATTTTTGGTGTCTTTTTCATAAGTGTGAGTTCATAAGGAAAGTTTCATTCACCCGTCCAACCATTCTTTCTCTTTTTTTTTATTTCCAAACCTTGGGCCACATCATGACAATTAAATATCCAACACCTAAATTCTGCTTTCTATATTTATTCCATCGAAAATTTTCTATCACATCTAACAATTATAACATTTAAGAAGTCAAATACACATTTTCATGCAAATGCAACGTGATTTGTATCCAAAATCTAGAACTTAGGTGTTCGATATGTAATTCATAGAATTTGAATGGTTTTAATAATATTTATCCCTAAGAAGATCAATGTTACATTTCTTGTTGGCTACAACAAGGTTAATTTCTTTCTTAATAACCTAATAAATCTTTCTTAATAATGAATAACAATCATTGAATATTGATTAATCTCTTTACTAGGGTATTATTATTGAAAATTATGGACAATCAATATGATTCTACAAGAGAATCTCACAAATATCTTTTTAATTATCTACTCCTTACTCCTTACAAATGTTTGGGAGATGTTGCTATTATATTAGTTTACAAAAAGGCCTACATATGCCAAAAATATATGTAATACACTAAGGTTTTATACTAGGGATTTTTTTTTTAAATATTGAAAGATAATAACTTAAGGCCTCTTGACATTATAAGAAGCTAATATGTGATAAAACAAACCCATTTTTATATTATAGGACAATATGACCCCATATAAGTTATAACAATGCTTTGTGGATCTCATAACTATTTATGATCTAAAGAAATGATTGACTATTAGGGTGTAGGAAAGATGAAAGGCAAAAAGAAAAAAAAAAAAGAACTAAATTTGATGTGTGCTGGGAAATTCACGGCGGTAGAGTGATGAATTATTGTCTTAGTGTTGCATGAAAATTTAACAAACACTTGGATAAAAGATAAACAACCAGTGGAAACACTAGAAGTTTTTATGTCGAAAACTCGTAATGGGAAAAACCATGGAGTTTGACTCAACTGAAGAGTTTCACTATAAGATGATTATAAATGCAACCACTTGTTTCACAAGCGGGAAATGATTACTAGGTCTCCCAAGTTATGATATCGGTGTGCGGATGAACTTGTTGCAAGGAACGAACAACAACCGATAGCGATCAGTAGTGGTCTGTAGTCGATAGTCGACAACGATCGGTGGTGATCGACAATGGTTGACGACAATAGGAATGGTGTTGGACTTCAGTTCCTTCTCAAAGCTTCGAGGCGATGTTTGACAACGGTCAACGGTGGTCGACTGCGGTCGATAGTGGTCGAGGGTGATTGACGACAATAGCAGTGGTGTTAGACTTTAGTTCCTTCTCAAAACTTCAAGTTTTTCTATAAGCTTCAAGCACTACCTTTTCTCGAGAGAGGTGATACTCTATTTATAGAGTTTGAGTGCAATTAATGCAGAAATATGAATTATTTTGGTCGAACGACTTTGAGGGTTTCTCTCTATCAGATGACATTTGATGGACATTTGAGTACATTAACAATGTCAGAATTGAGCGATCTTTGGCTCATTGAATTAGTCCGGCCAAGACGCTAAATTCGACAATGAACTCGTCAAATTCAACATCCAAATTTGGCCTTCCAATGTGTCCGGAAAACTTTCAAACATGATTTAATGACTTGATCAGGGCTCAATTTGGTTCAAATTGGATTAATGTTGGTATTCAAATGTGCCACCCTCGTCGAGCTGGTCATTTTGACTATAAGTTTGTTCAAATCTGAGCTCTGGATAAATTTTTATTAATGTTTTGGATAATTTATTGCTCAAAAGATTGCATCAAGATTTATGTCAGATGATAGAATTTATCGACAACGTATCAAAATCATTTCAATAAAACGGAAATTTCAAAATATCATTGTCACGATGAACATGATGCATTGAAAATATTCTTTTATTTTTGCAAATTCTTTTTATCCTTAAACCCCATTTATTTCAAAAGGAGTTAAATCCTGCCCCCATAAATTTACATTTTCTTAGATGGAGTATTCAATCTGCCCATCTGAAAAATGAAGATCAAACGCATTATATATTTAAATTATTTAAAAGAAATATTTACATACGTACCCCTTAATTCTTATGTATTTCAATTTTTTTTGTGTTAGAGTTTGGCTTGTTTGCTTAGCGAGCCGTTCACGAACAAAGAGTCGTTTTAACAACCCTAATCAAGTAGCCATAAGATGTTAAGGATTGAGATAAGATTTAAAACATCATTTGAATCTAGATTAATAATTTTTATTCTATTTTCTTCATTAATACTTTTAATTGATTATAAATCTTTGTAGTCTTGCACTCAATTAAATTTTTTAAAAATAATACTCATTAAAGATATATATATATATATATTCTCGCCAAAACGAGCCAAGCACGAATGAACAAATATTTGTTCGTGTTGTTGTTGTTCGGCTTGTTAACTTAGCGAACGAGCCGAACATGCGTTGTTCGTGAACAACGAGCCATTTTGATAGCCCTATATGAAATGATATATTTTAGTTTTGAAAAGTTAAAACACTGATATTTTTGTGAAATAAAACATTTGAGCAAGTGAAAAATAAAAAAAATTAGGGGTTAGATATGTAATTAAATTGGAATGGGATGGTATTTATTTAACTTAGATAATAATGTGATATTAAAAACTTGAATTGATTAAATACTACTCCATATATTTGAAAAATGTGGGGGGTTTATGTAAATTTCCCAAAAAAAGTTATGTTTGATATCGAGATGAACTTAAAATAGTCTATTTTGATAATACGATATAAATTCTTCACATATAATATTAATCTTAAAATATATCTATTCATGATAAGATATTAATAGCCAATGGAACAAATTAAGAGTAAAGTGCCATAGTAGTCTCAAATTATTTATATGGGACCGTTTTTATTCTAGACAGTGTTTGATAGCATATAATTTAAAGATAATGTAGCCATAAATTTAGTATAAATGCAACCAAACTTCAAAAAGAACGGAAATTAAATCCAACGCAGCGTTAAGTTTGTGTACAATATCAATAAATTTCTATCATCCAGCACAAATCTTGAGGCCGACACAAATCTCAATGGACATTTTTCGAGCAAGAAACATTTAAACTTGGATAAAAAAGCAGTATGAAAGTGTGATTTCAACAAACTTACACTCAAACAGATTGACTCAACAATGACCTAGTGAACTTATAGTCGAATTGAGTGTCTCGACAAAACAACTCTTGGAAAGTTTCCTGAGATATTTGGAATGTTAAACATATTTTGAATCTGGTGAACTCATAGTCGAATTGAGTGTCTCGACAAAACAAATATAACGAGCTCAAGATTGCTCAATTCTGACATCGTTAAGACTCTCAGATGTCCATCAAACATTTCAAAGGAATCTCTCCGGACCATCCGATCGAAGTGTTTCATATTCTTGCATTAATTGCACTCGGAACTACATAAATAGATCCCCTCCCCTCTCATTAAGAGTAGTTTGAGGCTGGGGAGAGAGTGAGAAAGAGCTTGAAGCTTTGAGTTAGGAGCTGAAGTCCAGCATCACTCCTTCCACTGTCGACTACCACTTGCCGATCACCACCGATCACCATCGATCGCCGCTCATTTCTTACGAGAAGTTCCTCTGCGCATCAACGTTGTAACTCGAAAAATGTTGCTACAATTTCTCATCCGTGGGACAAAAAATTGTATTTGCAACCTTCAATTTATAGTGTATTTTTGCAATTGAGCAAGACCCCGTGATTTTTTTTTTCTTTTTACGGGTTTTCCACATAAAAATTTATGGTGTCACTCATGATTGTTTTCTTTCTTCTGAATGTGTATTAGATTCTCGTGCAACGCTAATATATTTTATTACTATGCGGCCGAGAATCTTCTAGCACACATTAAATTGATATTTTTCTCATTTCATCTTTTCTTCCCAAATTCCTTTTTATTTTAGAACGTAAATTTGGATTTAATAAATTTAATTGTAAGATATAGTTAATACTTTCTTTTTATCATCACTCTCTCGAGTTCATTTTCTTTGCATTAACTTTGATTAGATTTGATAAATACTATTTAACGAAAATTCGGACCGGAGCCAAAAACTATCTTATAATTTATAATAATATTAAAATAGTCTCTAAGCTTTTAAAATAAAGATTTAAATTCTCTCTCCTAGAAACTATTAAAATTAAATTTTAAAACAGTAAAAAACTGTTTTAATACTTTAATGAACTCTAAAACAACATTATATAAATACCTACTCAACCAATCAAACCACTGGTCCCATGTGCTAGTATCTCTGGATAAGCCCTCCCCTCCCCTCCCCTCCCCTCCCGTTTCAAATTTGACTCTCCGATAGAAATCGATATTCTTGATTTCCTGCAAAGCTTCAAACCCTAGATCTTCTTCCCCAATCCATCGAAATCGGCCTTGAATTTCAACTACCTCTTCACAAACCATAGAACACTCGCAAAACTACCAACGACATCATTGCAATGGCGATTCCAGCCTCACACCCCTGCGTTCTCTACCGCGATTTCGGCTTCCGTGAGCACCAGAGCAGCCCTTCCTCTGCTGTCTCCGCTGCTGCTTGCTGCGGCGGGTGGTCTGGGGTGACATCAGGCTACTCGTTGGCTTGGAGAGGAGCGTGCCGAAGGAGGATCGGGGATTTGAGGGCGGGAGCCTTCTGGATCTCGAAGCCTTCATCGGTGGAAATGGAGGGGATCTCTGGAATGGAAGAGATGGATGAGGTCCTCCGGCGCTCGAAGGAGCTGTCACAGCCGGTTATCATCGACTGGTGAGTTCCTATACCATTATTAGAGGTATATCTATGCCCTAGTAATCGGAATCACGATATCCAGGTTTAATAACACGCAGTACTGCATTGACAGTCACGAGCACTCGTTGTTAATTGTTTCGGTACTGTTTTTACCTACCCAGAGGAAACAGAAAGAAAATAAAATCAATAACCATTTCATTGTGTTAATTTTATTCGATACTTAATAAGGAATTTAATTATGGTATTCTTCAATTCTTTTATCAACTTTAGTGGCATGATTTGTTCAAATCAATAGTAAAAATAGATTTGGATTTTAATTTAGGTTTAGAGTCAGATATGATCTCATACTCAAATTCAATATTAGAATCGATTGTTTCGTTTCAAAGTCCTTGCAAGTAAATCCAATTTTTTTTCTGGAGTGCTGTAACATGCAAGAGCGCGTTACTCATCAATTAAAATTAATCGATGTTGATGAATGGACCTACCAACTTAATTATTCAAGGCAGTTAGTACCTCACAAATTGTCTATAATTTCTTTTGGCATTCCTACCTAGTGAATCTTCTAGACTTTAGTAGAAAGGCGATCCAATAATAAATCAGGGTTCACATAATCGTGTGTGGATAAGCAATGTTTTTGAGAGTTGATGATAGAGTATGTAATTAAATTTGAAGGACGTTGTTGACGTTTTGTTTGGAAAAGCACTTATGTCCTCACTCATGTAATTCTACTGCTATTTTCTTTTCAATTTGGTGAAATTAATGACAAATTGAAATTCAAAATGTCCTCCATTGATGTGTTCTTCTACGACTAGGCAAGGACCTACAATCCTACTGCTAGGTGCACTAAGGGTATAATTGAGTCAATTTGTTAATGCTTTAATTCGGGCTTGGCTTAATGAATGGACCACAAGCCAAACTTGATGAGCTAACCAAGTTTGAGCTAGTTCTTACACGACTTATCAACTCGTGAATCAACTCATTTAAAAAATATTAATATAAAATGTACTTAATATATATTAGAATTCAAGGATTTAAATAGAAAGTTATTAAAATTATTTAAAACTAATTTCTATATTTCTTAGGACAATTGATTTTTTATAATTCCCCCTTTAATGTTCCATTTTTTTATCATTTTATTACAACAATTGCTCGAATTATAATTGTCTTTTTTATTTCTTTTATAATAATTGAGCAATCTTGTAAGTTGGCTGGAATTCATTGAATTAAGTTTGGTCTGAAGCTTGAATTCAAATGGTTAGCTAAGCTCAAGTATGAGGCGTTCAAAGTTGACTAAACCTATTTGCATCCCTAGTAGGCACTACCTAATTTTTTATTGTTATTTGGTTGTTGTTATGTAGTTGCTAGGAATCCAACAATTCAAAGGGTGGAGAGCCAGTCAAACAATGTATGAAAAACGAGCTATAAAAATCAAAAGCATAGAAAAGGGAGGGACAATTGCTAAAGAAATTGGATGTGAGAATTTAAATCGTAGATTTGATTCAATCTAAAGCTATTCCTCTACAAGATATTCTCTTAATTTTCTATTTACATGACTATGATAGGGATCATTAAATTTAAATGAAAATTTATCCATAATGGATGCACACGAAAAGCTCTTATCCTATAATTCAATCCAATAATCTTAAATTAAAGGCATGCATGAAATATGAAAGTATCATATTTCTAAATGAATAAATTACCTAAAAAAAGCAATTGAATGCTTGTCAGGTATTATATTTTGTTGAGTAAGCGTTTGATAAGTGTTTTTTTTTTTTAATTAACTTGTTTTTAAAAATATTCAAAAGAACTTTTAAGTATTTTTAGATCTTCAAGTTTCCTATTTTAGGGATTGACTAAAATTTTATGGAATGGATATGCATCACTTAGATTTAGAATTAAAATTTAAATAACATGTTGAAATTGTTTAGACTTATAAATCAGCTGTTTTTTTTTTAATGTTCTGTTCTTGCTGTTTTGTTAATTGTTCATTATTATACTTTATCTAGATACTATAATACAACTTTAAGATTTAATATAAAATCTAATGCAAGACTTCTTGAGAAGAAAAAATTTATTGTATTTTATTAATTATCGGTGCCTATTAATAAAACTTCAAGAAGAATAAGCAAGGAAACAAATTTATGAGAATATAAATATGTATCACTTTAAAAAAATATTCTCTAATTAAGGGCTTTTTCTAAAATTACTTTATCAGTATATCGACAAATTCTATTTTGTTTCACTTGTGTAGTAACATTTGGTTTAGTGAACAAAATTATGTTGACCAACTCCACCCATTATATTTAGTGCTGCTTACTAAAATAAGATGAATATTATACTCTTTCCCATGTCCCATGGCTTAAAATATCAATTATTAAACTACATTAAAATCCTTCCATTTACAAGCCTTATATATTCCTAAGTATAAAGGCTTTGGCCAATCAGTTGTGATGATTTAATGTAGTTGGAGGTTGAGAATGACTTTTTCGGTGGGTATTTCATCCTTGACAGGGTATTTGGTGCTATAAAAGAATTTTATTGATAACTACTTTATCATTCACTCTTTAATAAAAGAAACTCCGAGTAGGGTTGTCAAATTTGATTTGCATGTTGTGTTTAGGTCTACTCGAAACTCTTTGACTTGAATCTGACACGAATATTATATGGGCTAGAATGTTTAATCAGAATCCTACCCTTTTTTAACCCGATCAATTTGAATCTTACCCACATAACTCATTTAACATATGCATAACATCTATTTGGATTAAGTTCAAGTCAAATTTGTGTTGGGGAGTGAAATTTGGATCAATTTGAGTTTGTATGCCAACTTGAACCCCACCCGACTAAAAAATATTAAGCATTTTGGTATCCTTGACCTGAACTTGACCCAAAAACTAATCAGATCAATTCAAACTCAAATTTTTCGAGTTGTGTTCGAGCAGGATTGTCTTGTTGGGTTAAATTTTTGACACCCTTACTCTATGTCAACTTTGTTATTTAATGTAGCACTTTCCGTCTTAATTGATAATTATTATGGGTAGTCTGTGTTTATGTCAAGTGGGTATTTCAAGTCAGGCGCGATGAAACCCATGTAATACATAGTATGGAAGTAAATGGTTGGTTGGGAAGGGGGATATTTAGAGGTTTGGAAGTATTTCTTCAAAGATCATTTAACCATTGATGGTTAAATACTCTAGGTCTATCTGTCATCATTTATGTTATATTTTTTTATTTTATTTTTTGGAAATGGGACAAAACGTGTTTGATAAATATTTTATATATTTTATTTTTTTAATAATAAATTTGGTTAATTTTAAAAATTCTCAATTTTTTTTAAGATATTTTTATTATTTTCAAAATAAGAACTCCTAACTATTTGATCTCATACCGTGACTGCCATCGCCATAAATTAACCCTACACTCAGCATTAGCCAACTCTATACTTGTCTTCAACTAGCCCCATTTTGATTCTCCACTTGGTGTAACACCTCTAGTCATGATTCCATCATCAATTTTCAAATAATAAAATAACTCGTCTTATAAAATTTTAAATAAAAATAAATAACGCTTATTTAAAATTCCAAACACGCTTCTTATTATTTATGAAAACATTAAAAGATAAAAAACTAAATAGAGAAATAAGTGAAAATAAAACATGATCGGTCCTTAATTTGTTAGCAAATAAAACGTGATCGATCTTCAATATGACTTACAAATTGAATAATAATCTAGGCTTAATTTATTTATGATGTTGTAGAATGGTTGAGATCCTAACTAATGTAAGTTGCAAAGAGAAATTAGAAGTTATAACAGACAATAGTAATATACTTAACGACAAATCAAATTTGACTTTTCATGGCAAAAAATTTCACTTATGTTGGCAGAGTAGGGATAACACTCACAAGTAACAAGGTAAGTCATTAGGTGGACGCCAAAGAAAAAATCTCTCAAAGAGGGAAAACTAGCTAAGTTTCATTCAAAAGAGTTACTTTATTAGTACATACTAGGGGACTATAATGGTAACAACCCAAGAGCCATTTGATGGGGTGGCAAACCATGCATGGAAAATGGGTGAGAAATGAAGGCTTGCAGGGTTTGAAGATTCATTTGTAGGGTTCGAAGGGTTTATTTGAGTTTTCATGGTTGAAGGCTTGATGAAGATAATGTAAAGAGAGATGAGAGGAGGGGCATCCAAGCCATGTGGGGAAGAGAAAGTGGAGTGAATATTGAAGTGTCATGGTCAAAATATGATGTGGAGGCCAAATTGCTGTCAGTAATGACCCATGACTTGGGCTTCTACCATCACTGCATACAAGAGACCCATGTGCTCAAGGACAACAACAAATAACAATCATGATAATTACTCAATAAATACGGCATGGCTCCACTAGACTCAATGGCTTATAGCGTACAAGTGTCAAAAAAGAAAAGGGCAATTACATACAGTCCACCCGAAACTTGCTATTTACAAATCAACCATCCTTTGATCCATCAAATTCTCATTTAAATATCAAAATTCATGGTAAAAACAAAAACCCAACCCATAGTTTTAATTTTTATAAAATTCTCGATGGTTTAATCGTGACACGTGTAAATACATTGATTCAGTTGTTCAAAAAATCACCTGGATGGCTAATTTGTAAATACCAATATTTCGGGTGTTCTGTATGTAATTATCCCCAAAAGAAATTTTATAAGAAAGAAATATAAAAGACTTCACATGATCTCCATAGTAGACAATGGCTAGATTCCTTGACCAGGCCTTTGAAGTCTTTGGTGATGAGTATGACGATGCCTTGCATCACAAATAACCTCCACTTACTTTGCATAGAATTGGTTTTTGCAAAATCAGAGCACGTACATAGGAAAGGGAAAGTTACATTTAAATGGTTTGTTTATTTAACAATGACCATATTTGAATTCTCTACAATAACTAATAAGCTTTTTGTGAACTGCTTGATTCAAAAATAAACTTTATTTTTTGTTCGAGTCTATTTTCATGCTTTATGCCATATTTT